CTAATATACATACAACTATATATAAAAGCAGTTTTGCTACCGGTACATCACCCCTTATATAAGGAGTGACATAATGCACAAGTGGCGCATCTTCATTGGAGGGGAGCCTCGGCCCACATGTGGGGCCTCGGCACCCCTCCAATGAGGAGGTGCCACTTGTGCATTATGTCACCCCTTGTGTAAGGGGTGATGTACAAGTAGCATAATTCTTTTTAAACTGTCAAATGATAACATGTCACGTGGCATGTTGTCAATAATGATGTCAAAATCATTATACATCAAGCACTACTCTGAGAAAAGAGCCCATTCTATTATACTACTAGACCTCATCATACTTCATTTCGTCATGCATCATGTTTTAATAAAGTTGACGTATGAATAATTAAGAAAGTTGAAAATAACTTTTTTCTAAAGTAACTCCCAGTCATACCACAGGGTCAAAAATAGTTTAAAGTGCATTTACCTTTCTATAGACTAGACCAGGCATGTTGCTAAGTCAAGTATTGACTATGAAAACTAAGTCGTCCCTAATGACTGGGCCATGATTCTTGACTTATATGAACCCATTGTTACACTTGTCACAAAATTGTGGTGCAGCCTTGATTTTAATTAATAAGATTATCAGATTTTGTGGAAAAGTCTATCCCTCTCCCATATATAAACCCTAAATTCCCCTACACTTAAACTCACAGCTTGAGAAATTACTTCCTCTGGTAAAAAAAATGAAGACTCTGGTACTGGTTTTCTTGTGCCTCTCATCCTCTATGGGTACATTGATTCAAGAAGGGTGGGTTCGATAATAAGCAAATCCCCTTTCGATCAAATGTTCAAGCATCGCAATGATGGAAATTTCCTTGCAAATGGTTTTCACACTTATGAAGCTTTCATTGCTGCTGCTAACTCCTTTGGAGCTTTCGGAACCACAGGCGATAATGATACTCGAAAACTGGAAATTGCCGCCTTCTTGGCTCAAACATCTCATGAAACTACATGTTATATTTAAATCGTGCATATGCATGCATGTTTTGTGAGCAGACTAGATATATCGAGTCGAATGTGGTAATAAACGTACCCTTCATGTTCGAAACAATATTTTACTAATTTGTTAGTGGAATTACACAGGCGGATGGGCTTCTGCACCTGATAGTCCATATTCATGGGGATATTGCTTCAAGCAAGAACAAGGCAATCCACCGGATTATTGTGTTGCAAGCCCGCAGTGGCCATGTGCTCCTGGTAAAAAGTATTTCGGTAGAGGGCCTATCCAGATTTCCTAGTAAGTATGGTGTAAAACACAAGCATGTTTATCATTCAATAATAGACAACCACTTGACAAGATCTTTACAGTGTTGTTTAATACTACTTATGTAACATGTCATAAATTCTTGTATTATTTCTCGTCTGAAAGTAACGGGCATATCTGTATTCAAAATAGTGGGCACTTTCTCAATTTCTTAAATTATGTATTGCAACAATTGCAACTGTGGTCCAGCAGGAAGAGCCATAGAGTCTGATTTGCTAAACAACCCACATGCAGTTGCAAATGACCCAACCATTTCATTCAAAACTGCATTATGGTTTTGGATGACACCACAAGAGCCAAAGCCCTTGTGCCACGATGCAATCAGTGGGAGATGGACACCCTCGACCGCAGACTTAAAAGTTGGACGAAGGCCTGGTTACGGTGTCGTTACCGACATCATCAATGGCGGAATTGAATGTGGTCAAGGTTTAAACCCGCAAGTGGAAGATAGGATTGGCTTCTACAAGAGATATTGTGACTTACTTGGAGTTGGACTGTTACAACCAAAGGCCCCTTATGGGTACATTGGCTCAAAGAGGGGTAGGTTCAACTCTTGCCTCGATCTATACTTCACTACTTTTGTTTGTTTGTTGTTCACTTCACATTTGTGTCATATTCCGGGTAATTTTATATTTTCAATATATTTATTTTAATAAAAAATAGCATTTCTAACATATTTTCCAACATATTAAGATGAATTTTGTTGTTATTCTTTATTACATTTTTTGTTTTTCTCGGTTAAAACTAAAATTCGTTTTCGGTTTTACTTTCCTGCACCTTCTTGGATTTCTTTTAATTTGGAATTCGTTTATCTTCTGTTTTTGTAACCAAAATGACTCTTTAATAGTATAATCGATGTTCCTCCAGTTGTTTCCCCTTCAATTATGGATCCCCCAACTTCTGTTCATCCAAACTATGTTTTTCATGTAGAGAAACCTGAAAATATTTTGCGAGGTTGATTTCAAAAGTTGCAAATAGAAAATATTTTTTTATCTTACAACCCTAAACTTGACTAAATTCTTGATTGAAGATTCTCCTTGATGCGAACCCGGGAGCGGGATTAGCGTGAAAATTGCGAAATTAATTGAAAACACTGGGAAAGCCCAAATTCAGGTTGTAGACAGTAGAATCTCGATCCGCGAATTATTGAACCAAGTAACTAAACAAAAACGAAGTTTGAATGACCTCTTGATTATAAAACCAACGAACCTCGATTTGCGA